CTTGTTTAGGTTTCAGCCAACCTACTCCTCAGTTGGATATTGTTTACCTGATCAGTATGGAATTGCTTCAGTCTTCTGGTCTTTTCTTTTTCTCTTTTATACAATATTATACAGCTCTCACTTAGACTCATTGTTTTCTCTGTAAATTTCTGTAACAAGGCCAAGTTTAGCTCTACTAATTCTGAACTTAGATTTTAATAAATTCTTTTATCATTAGAAAGTTGATTGATTTCCTCACACCATGTGTAGTTGGCATCAGTGAATACACCATGTAGATTTGGTGGGTCACAATAATTGGCATTAATGAATATGATGTGTACATTTGGTTTGGTTGACAGTAATGTAATCTTCTTGTGTGGAATTTTCATCAAATATTTTTTTGTTATATAAATAGAGTAATGTAAAATTTCTGGTAAAAATTTGCAGTGAGGCAGGAAAAGTAAATATATTAACAAACAAACAAAATTAAAATCTTCACATTTTCAGAGAAGATAGTGATGTTAAAGATTACCATTGGGATAAAGGCAAGATGGTGAATAGAGTTAGTAGCATGGAGTGAAGGTTATGGCTACTGAGGCAGAAGGAGAACCCATTCATAGATTCATAGATGCATTCATAGGTTGGAACAGCCCAGGTCCCCATTCCTAACTTTGAAAATGCTGGCATGATACCTTGCAGGTCTTGCAGCAAGGTATCCTTTACTTCAGAGTGCTACTATGTGACTGGAAGATAATATATTAATGGTAATATATAGTAAATAAAAAATCTTGGCAACTGTAGGCCCATTAATTCAGCCTCGGAAGTATGTAAGACTTTAGAAGAAAATTCTATCAAAAGACATAGCAATAAATGAAGCAGAGAATAAGACTCCTGTGTGTTTATACTTATCGTGCCAGACTAGTCTGATAGTTTTCTTTGATGACATAAATGCAGTAAAATACATGATATGTCACATAATTAGTAAAATAATAATGCAGGAGGATTAGTTCAAGAACTCGGATGTGGGAAGACACAGAATAATGGGAAAAGACAGCTACGAGAGAGCGATGAATGAAGAGGGGTATTTCTCCGATTCTAAAGGACTAGTTTGTGGAACAGAAAATAACGTGCCCAGGAAAAATGCGCTGATGGCAGAAAGTAGAGAAGCACTGACACTACGAAGTGGTAGTGGGGTAGCGTATAGAAAGATGTGAATAGCTTTGAAGACTGAAGTCTGAAATACAAGGATATTTCCCTAGAACAAGGTAAAAAGTCATAACTTGTAGGCTAACAGCAAAACTTTAACTGTGTGGCAAGAGGTAGTCAGCTGGAAATGAGAAGAAAAACTGCGTGTACCAGATGATCACTGAGGTATTACCATGTATCAGAAGAAACATTTGCATAGTATATAGGGAGATAAGAAAACTATTGGGTAAGAATCTTGCAAGACCTCTGCAGCTCTTCTCCATCCAACCCTGAGTACGTGTTTTCACAAAGGACAGAATCCAAGTGACACCAGTATAGAGAAGGATGATGAAATTGGTACGCAAGCTGCAAAGACTGTTGCACAAGGACAGGCTTTCACACGTGTGAGTATACATTTCACAGTGCAGTACACAGGATTACTTGGAGAAACAAGATAAATTGATCCAGGCAGATGCTGTATTCACAGAGCTAAACTGCTTTTACTGTCCAGCCCAGCTTAGGCATCTCTACAGAGTACTGCACTGTGCAGCGGTCGGCTTATTTAACCTTGAAAAATGAAGCCTAAGGGAGAATACTACTGCTTTCCATGAATTCATGGTAGTGGAAGCCCCAAGGAGGAGGAAATCCTGTTTAACCTGAGAGGCTTCCAACAGAAGGAAAAATAGATATAAACTGACCATGAATAAATGCAGGCTGAAAACTAGGAGGCATCTCTTAAGTAGCAGAGGAGTGATGTTCTGAGACAGCCTATTGCTTGGAAACACCGGTACAAAAATATTCTTCATACAGGAATGTACAGTTTTGTAAATCATCTGGTTTTATTCATTTATAGTTTGGTGTTGATGACTTAGGTTGAATTAATTTCCTTCAAGTAATTGCTAGGTGATTGTCTTAGAGCTACAAAGGAATTGCAATATCCTTTGATTAATTAACTGAGTAAATGACTGTCAGATGGGAACCCCTTCAAAGATCTTTTTGCTCTTTAACAGAAGTGCATCTGTTTATCGTCTTTTATTTTTTAAACTTTGTTTTTTCATTTTGTCAAGAGGAACCTTGTGAGTGATACACTGTCACTGTAATTTTGAATGTGGCACAGAACTATCGCACACAAATTAACAAAAGTAGCAGCGGGCTACTTGAGTGACTTAAGTGTTATCCCTTACTTACATCATTTTGGGTCAAGGCTGATCACCTTGACAAGTACCAGGAAGAAGCATTATGTTATAATCTCGGCAAAGAACCAAATGATGGGTTACAAAGATTGTTTGAAAAGGGGTGTTTAAAATCATACGATCTCTGTAAAAAGAGCTCTGAACAATTGGTATCAAAAGGAACACATCCAATATATATTTTGTAATGTTCCAAGAGGGAAGAACTTACTCCAATATATGGTACATATTTTGCTTATTAAACTCATAGGTTCATTATTACAAAAGATTGCCCGCTACACTGAAGAACTAAGCAAAGTACAGAAGACTTGAGGCAGTTAGGTCTAATTTATTTGGAAGGTGCTTTTTTTGTACATTTCCCTAACCACCAGGTCTATTCACTGGCCTGCGCTCCGTGTGTTTCTACTGAATTGCAGTGCATTGCATTTTAAGCTGTAAGTGCCAAAGTAGCCAGCATTTGTCAGAACAGTGTAGCTAAACTAGTCTCTTCTCCCAACACTTCAAAATATGGTCTGCCATTTGTTTTTTGTGTTATAATCCAATTCTCATTTGTATCTTCTGCCCAAGATGCAAGATAACAATTATATGAAAATAATGTAGAAATGTTTCTTTGCCTCTTTTACCTTTTTAGCCTTTTTTTGTCTAAAACACTGTAATGCCACTAATTACAATGAATTTTTAGCTGAGTGATTACTTCAGCTGTATTGCTGTTTTACTTCTTCAACAAAAGTCAGTATCCATGAAAGGTATGCATTTTTAGCAGATATTTGGAGTCTTCACATTGTTTTGGTTGGAAAACTGTTGACATAGCAAGATACTTCTCCTTTTTGATATATAAAAAATTATTTTTCTTGAAACACAGGAAAAGGCTAGAAAAGATAGTTTCTTTGATTACAGATGCAAAATGCTTTCAAGCCAGAAAGTGCTAAAAACATGTTTCTAGGACTTGATCACTCTGCTTTTGTGTTTTCATCCCACTTTGTCTCTGTCTCTAGCCTAACAGTCTGTCCTTGACATATACCTAAACCTTCAGAGAATAGAAGGTGGTAAAGCCTCTCCACCCAGATGTGTGTTGTATTTTGGTTGTTGTAAGTAGGAGCATTTGCTCAAGTTTTAGGAAAAGTACTGCTGGTACTGGTTGAGCTAGCTGGTGCTACGGAGTTGTTTACACAAACATTTTTTGTGTTTATCCCTAATGGAAGGCAGCTATTGCACACATATTTCAATCGTGTTTAACACACTCCAGACAATGGCATTTGTTTTAGCAGCGTCAGGATTTGGCAAATAGCAGTCTATATTAAGCTGAGTGTTAACCTCTTAATAACTGAATGGTTATGTGGCCATGATTAGATTCCAGTTCCCAGCAGGACTGATGAACTCCACATAAAATACTAAAAGTGCATTTTTTCTTTTAGATAACAAAATGCATCTCATAATTGCTGTTAGTCCAGTTGTTGTCCAGTTGCTCATTCTTATTCTTGCATTTCATGGTGAGATAACATTGTTTATCTGTCAACATACAGACCCTGCATTTATAAGGATATTCTATAGTAAAGAGACTGTGTAAGAGTTATCCAATACCATACAAGTATTTTTCTTGTAAATACAATGTCCAGGTGTATGCCAAATCACTTCGTATAATTTAACTTCCTTCCCCACCCCATCTCCTGATTTTATATACATAAAATCAGGCTGCACAGTCCATGAATTGCTATTACTAAGAAGTCAATGGGCTGTTGGTCAAAATAATAGTATTCCTTGTAAAGGAAAGGAGAAGTCATCAGTTACTGCAGGTGTTCAGTAGGTAAATTGAGCCTTTCTTTATGTGAACACTTTAACTCTTTAATGAAGTCTGCTTGTAGAACTATTTCCTCTGTAAAGAAATTCACAGAAGACAGGTCTAAAAGTTTCTGGGTTGTGTTTTAATTTTAAATGCTATATTGAAATTGTTTAGCAGTGTTCATTGCAGTCAGAGTTGGAATACCTTTGTTCCTTAGATAATGCATTGGCTACTTATCCAGCCAATATATAGTCTTTTGACATTTGGCACGTCTGTGGAAAAAAACTTATATCTGCCTGATGAGTGTGAAATCCTGGTCTGCTCTTAGGCAACAGAAGAAATGCTTACTCCCTTTTCTCCACCTAAGATAACTAAGATTGCTATCTTATGTGATGGGGTGTAATATTGCTACATGCCTGACAGTCTGAAGACAGTAAATGCCTCTTGAGTTTGTTTGTTTACTTGATAAAATTTCTGGCCTTACTGAAATCAGAACATAATGTATCATTTTATTTTATGGAGGAAAATCTTCACCCTCAGTTACAAAACTGGTGTCTAATGTTACATGGCAATTAGTCTGAGTAACAATATTAAACAATAAATATTAAGTCTCTCTATAGTCTTTTCAGATATGGATGTAATGGATACTAAATTGTCTGCAAAAAGTTTAAAGCTAGTTTTGTGGCTGACAGTGTTAAAGGGTCACTTCTTTTGGGTGAATATTAAATGTCCAAGGTATCTCTCCTGAGTCTCTGGAATGGTAACTGTATATTTCACTTCCAAATTGAAGATTTTTTTTTCTCATTATTATTATCAAATTCATTTTGTTTAATTTCAATATGCATGTATTCATTTTTTCCCTGCAGATTTCATTTCTGGCCTCTGCTTACATGAGCCAACATCTCTCAGAGGAAAGCTGCTCTGCCCTTGCATCTGTTACCCATTACCTTTACCTCTGCCAGTTCAGCTGGATGCTTATTCAGGTTGGTCTCTCAGTCTTTTTCACCCCTTCCCCAAAACCTCTGTAAAACTGATACTTAGACTGTGTTTCTGTTATATCATAGTATATGTATCTCTGCAATTCAATGCTACTAGAGAGGCAGAACAATAGGTGGTCTTTATTAAACCTCCATTACAACTGTGTAAGAATTTCCACATCTCACTTCATCTTGTAGAAGTTACTGTCTCAAAACACTGAAGAACTATTTTTATTGGGGTTAATAGCTTTTCTAAACATCTCTTATTTGGTCTTTTGAAACAGTCTCTTACAGGTGAAATGTAAGTGTAAACTACACTGTGATTTTTTGAGTCAGTAGCATTTTAGTCATTAGACTTTTATGACAAACATACCTTCATAAGTTTGCATTAAAATAAGGAGTATATACATTCATAAATATTGCCAGGTTTTTCATAGAATCATAGAATCACAGAATCGTTTAGGTTGGAAAAGACCTTTAAGATCATCATCCAACTGTTAACCTGGCACTGCCAAGTCCACACGTAAACCATGTCCCTAAGCACCACATCTACACGTCTTTTCAATACCTCCAGGGATGCTGGCTCAACCACTTCCCTGGGCAGCCTGTTCCAATGTTTGACAACCCTTTTGGTGAAGAAATATTTCCTAATATCCCATCTAAACCTCCCCTGGTGCAACTTGAGGATGTTTCCTCTTGTCCTATTGCTTGTTACTTGGGAGAAGAGACCGACCCCCACCTCGCTACAACCTCCTTTCAGGGAGTTGTAGAGCGTGATAAGGTCTCCCCTCAGCCTCCTTCTCTCCAGGTTAAACAAGCCCAGTTCCCTCAGCTGCTCCTCATCAGACTTGTGCTCTAGACTCTTCACCAGCTTCGTTGCTCTTTTGACACATTATAGAATAGTAAATGGTGTAAAAAGCAATTGAACTAACGTGGGAGACCATGAACAATCAAATTTGTTATGGAAAATTACCGGTTGTAAGTTAGTCAGAATAACAAGCTGTGAGGTTGTTTGGAAAATACATTATCATGCCCTCATTCTAGAAATGTATATTTAGTACTAATGTGTGAATTATGCCATTTATTTGTCTGTTATTTTAATAGGATTTGTCCATAGCACATTTATTACAGCATACAGCTTTACATATGCAGCTCCAAACATTACCATACAAATCCTCCAATATGCAGGTTGTCAGACCAAACCAAGAATTGCAAATTAGGCTGTATCTAAATACAACTTTCTCTCCCAGTGACATTCATGTGGTATCTGGCATTTTCCTGGGATTATGTCAGGCTCACTTTCATTGGCAACCCTAACAGCGTCTCTAACAGCTCCACTGTGCTTGTTGGTCTTAGCAAGCTATAAGTAGATGGTCTGTCATGAACACGGCTGCTGCAACTGCTCGTAAAAATGGAGCAGAGAGATCTGAACTGCTCTGTCTCTAGTGAAACTAATACTCTTTTTATTCTTGTTGTTTTTCATGAATTTATACAGTTAGCAAGATTAAGTATTGTCTCTAGTGGATGTTAGTCTCTACTGTCTCAATACATAAATTTTTCTGCTGTACTTCTCCACCTAGTTTGGCTTATGACTTTCTCTTAGGTTAACTAACCTAAATTATTTTGTGAGCTGTAAATTATATTCTTCTTCACAGCTGCTCATTCACTTCATTCCTAAGTCGCTTCATATCTCTTGAACATTTACTATTTTGGACAGACAAAGTAATGCTTTTAAGTTGCTGTTTTACCGGGATATCTCATGTTTTGACTGCTCAGTGTTTGCTAGTGTTTCATCTTCCCATCCTACGTGTGTTACATCACATTAAGTTGCAAAATGATTCCTGTTTCGAGTGCTTGCTCTTCCAAGGATTAATCACTTATAATTGCAAAAAAATTTTACGACTGTTAACAGTTGGTCATTTTTATGGCTGTAGTTGAAATCCATTGTTATTTTTGTTGGACAGACTTGGGCCAGGTCCTAAGAACCTGCATGTCCCATTGCATTTAGTGGAGCCTCAGGCTTGTGTTAGTCATGAAGACTGTTCATGCAGATCTGAGGGGACAAAGGTGTTTAAGAGGGAATCCTTTATGGCCTGCTGAGTGATAGCTGCACGAGCTGCCAGGAGTAAAAGTCAGAGTGAAGGGGTTGCCCCTTTTGTAGGTGCAGGTCTTCAGCTGTGAATAATTAATTCCTGAAGTTTGAAAGACCCAAAAGGAAAGAAATAATCTGAAATGTAGATCAACCCAGCCCTCAGCTACAATTTACTCCTCCTGATTGAGAATAGGTCCCAAATTTATATTTCTCATTGCAGAGTGAGGAAGCAATCTGAGGGCGCTAAAGGAGTGCTGCAGACACCTCTGTGCTTGGACTGGTGCCCATGACAGTATTAGCAAAGCTTGTGGATGCAAGGGAAAACCAGACTGATTTGGGAAGTCTAGATGCTACTCCTGTCTAAATGACAGATTTAGGTGCCTGGGAAATTAATGTTCATATTTCTCAGCATGGTATACTTAATACACATGACTTGATTTGGAAGGCAGAATTAATAATGTATTTATACTTAAATGGGACTTAAATACCTCTGTCTGGGAAACAGCAAAAATATGCAAACAGGTTCTGTATCACTCATGCAGTCACTCTGCCCTCTGTGAGGCTCTATAGCGTAGTACATATGCTTGATCACTAACTCATTTTATACAAATCTGCTAGTGTCAGTCTTGATCACTGCATACAGAAGTGGGTGAATGTGGTAATCAAGTGCAAGCAGCGTGCAGATACGTGGAACTGAAACATCCAGAAAATCCAGACAATTTTAAGTGATCAAAAGGTGGTGGAGCAACATTTCCAGGCAACAAAAGTCTATAGGAAAACACAGATTTAGCAGTACGATTGGACCTATACAGAGTCAATTCTGTAGTCCACATCAAAGATCTTTACTTTCTAGACTCTAGGAAAACTTCCTTACCTTTTTGTCCTAATCTTTCCATCTTGGGCATATTGCTAGGTATAGTCATTATACTTCACATTTTATCATATTTTAATAGTGGTTACAACAACAAAATCTATAGCTTTGTATTCTAATTCTTTTTCCATTTTTAGCTTCTTGAATTTGTAGGCTTACATTCGATGTAAGTATTTGTACTACACGCACAGCTACTACCCACATATTGACTGAAATGCAGGAATGGAAACGACTTCAGAGATCACCTGGTCCATTTTCAGAGTCAGAACAAAGGCCACATCAAATCATCCTTGCTTGTCTGATTGTTCCTGTCCCTTTGTATTGCATTGTCTTGTTTCTTGGCTTTTATAGGGACATTTTTGTAAGTTGCAGAATGTTGATAACATTACCCAACTTTTTAAGGAGGAGGCTTTCTTGACTGCAGAGGGAAAGGAGTAAGCAAGGTGCAAATGACTCTTGGTGCCCACAGAGTGAGCTTAGCCTGAAATATTTGCCTTATTCTAATGTCTGAAATTCAGAAGTCTTCATCCTGGCAAATGTCCCTTCATACAAATGTACGTTGCTACAGCATAAGCCTGTATTTTCAAATGCAGTCTGCGCTTTTATCATAGGAGCACACACTAAGGATGCCTTTCTGTATTCTGTTGTTCTTCCCATGACAAATCTGTAGTATGACAACCATTTAACAGGAATAACAATTTTCTTCTTTTAGCATTTTCTACCTTGTTACCAAAAAAAAAGTTACAAAAAAAAGTTAAAAGCTGTCTTTTGAGGAAAAAATTAAAATTGAGTAGTTCTTAATTGCCAGTTCTGACATAGAGTAAAATTATGGCAAAAGGTGGACTCTTTGTACTTTTTTGAGCCATTGCTACAGTGGAGTAAATCAACAGCAAAAGTGGCAGTTCAATAAGCAAACCAGAGTGAATGTCATGAGCGTGCTGTCACCCATACCTGAATCCTCTTCCTTTGTGGATTTAATGGCACCTTAAATTTTCTATAAATTCATTGCAGACTTGTAAAACAAGTACTTATCTTACAATAAGTTTAATGCTTATTTTTAAGAATGATTTATGGACTACTTAAGAGCTTTGAAAAAGGAATTATATGAAAGCATGCAACCATTCTGAAAATGAAAGCTGTGGCCATTCCTAAAAAGAAGGAAGAAGGGAAATAGAAGTTTTCTCACTGAGTTGGGAAAGACTTTATTTAAAGTATTTTGCAGCTAATATTTACCAGATATCCACAGATTATCACTAAAGATAAATGACTGAATAAATAAAGAAATAAACAAAAGCACCCCAATTCAATTTAGGTAATCTCAATTAATTGTCTCATTCTAAAAGAAAAAAGCTTCACTGAAGTTCGCATTGTCTCATTAGAGTGTTTTTTGAATTCATAATTGTTTTGCATTCTACATCAGAACAATCACAACTTGTACATTTGTTCTTCTACCTGAGCACCTGGGAAATGGACTGTACATTTTATTCTTCTGTAGAACTGGTTATTGTTGTAGCATGGCAACAGGAAAGGATTTGCTAAAATTAGGTCCACTATTTGTATTTCATTGATTAAATTTTTGAACATCAAAAGGGGTTGAAGACGAAAACTTATTTCAAGATAGAAATGTCACTGTGCAGGAAATAGTGAACTATCCAAACCCGTTTACATCTTTGCAGCAGCACTGGTGTTAAAGTGTTCTTCTGTGATAAATGAGGTGAGATAGGTAAATATGGCTAAGCAAACACAGAGCAAGGACATGAGGTACGATTTGTTAGACAGCAGTCTCAGCTGGATGAGTGAGAACAATGTTCACCAGATTGTCAGAATTAGTAGAACCAACAATCCCTGAGCATAATGGCATAAATCAGTTCAAGGATTTTGCTGTCTGGAAATGCTCGCAGTGAAGCACAGCCGAGTCAGGACTACAAGGGCATGTAATTTTGAAGAATGTTTATTGGCATAAGGTGACAAACAGAATCTTGAATGGGTTTTCAATCCCATGTAAAAGTTAAAAGATCAAAGGACACTGTATGATAAAAACCAAATCTTTCCACAAACTGTGGATTTTTTTTCCAAATACCAATTTTCATCTGTTTAATGTTTTCTTCCTGTGAATGTTCAACATGGAATTAATAGTTCTTCTGTGTTCTTTCAACCTACACAGGACAGTTAGAATGATGTGGTAGGATTTTCCTGTGTTCTTTTAAGGAAAATAAACTTTGCCTTTGTTCACATAGCACCAATCACCAAATGAAAATATAAAAGGCCATAATAATTACTATATAATTGATACAACTACATACACTGGACATATTTATAAAATGTAATTCTCTAAGGGACCATTTCAAATGCTTACTAAACTAATAATTTTTTTTGAAAACAAGTTAGCATATGCAATGTACTTTATGAAGTATTGTATATTCATGCTATATAAATCACAAAATAAAACCTGTAATGATAATTAACTGATGAGACTTACATAAGGAATCCACAAACCACTAATTAAGTACTTGATTGTGAAAATTCAGTCTGCCTGAACAAACTGGTAGACGAACCCTTGGCTGATGGGAATCCGCAAAATTTCACGAACATAAATAATCACTTTGCGATTGTCTTGTCACTGTATAGGGATTTGACCTATCCTAACAATAGACAGCTGCAAATTAAGCATATAAATCAACATTATTGTATGAAATCCCTGTGTGGACAATGGAGAGAGATGAGTATGATTGGGTAAGGATCAATGAGTGTCTGAAGATGTCTGTCCTCTCTCCATTGACTTGTCAAGACAGGCTAGAGGCACAAGCTTGACTTAGATGCCCTCTAGACAGAAAAAGACAAAATTAATCCTTTATTCACCCCATGTAAAAGGCCAGAAATAATTATATAACATGCAGAGCTGTAGCTGGTATAATATGTTTGAAGTAGAGGAAGTGAAGAAATATTTTGCAAAACATGTTTTTATTGTGGATAGTTTAGGTGTTTATTAGAAAGTAGTAACGTGTGTAGGTTTGCATAAAAAATGCTCAGTACATAGGAAAGCGTTTTTACTCTTAACCTCTTAAAGCACATGCAAAGATCCAAGCAAAACTCCAAGCATTTTATTTTACTTGAAGTGTTTCCTTACTCATACTACCACTACTTTCAAGAGATTTCAACTATTCCACTTCTTCATTTTGATTCATATATGGTTTTAAATTCTTAGTTATGCCATTCGGTGATGAGTTGATCACAAGACACATTGGTGTAGAGATGCATGTGAATTTACATTCACTTTTTTGCATTTTTTTATCAAACTCTTATCAATTCTATAAAAGATTCAATACAGATCAGATTTAGCAACATTAGTTGTCAGTCTTTTCTGTGAAGGTATGGAAATCCAAGAAGCAAGCTACTTTTGTACCACAAAGCTATTTTTGCACTGCAAAAATACTGTTTTCTACTAAACAGGGTGTCCTTCCTCTCTGATAGTCTGATTCCAATTCTAACAGTTATATAAATAAGCATCCTTCTTCTATAATCAGTCTCTTTTGATTACTTAAGAGAAGAAAATGAGAACAAAATATTTATGTCAAAAAATGTTTGTATATACATATATGCTGGGACAGAAATATGCTGTATTGTGAGTTTCAGAATGATTTGGTTTTTGGGATAGCTAATCATCCACAAAGTCTACTGATTAATATTCTGCATTATTCTTCAGGCTGTTAATTTCTGGTACGTCCTGGTGATGAATGATGAACACACAGAGCGGCGCTATCTGCTTTACTTCCTTTTGAGTTGGGGGCTTCCAGCTTTTGTTGTGATCCTGCTTTTAATTATCCTGAGAGGAATCTATCATCACAGCACAGCACAGATTTATGGCCTCGTCTACAGTGATCTGTAAGTTTTCCTTTAAAAAAGCATGAGCTAGCTATTGTACTCTCTATATTGTTTTATATTTAATTTGCTTGCACATAGAGAAGGGGACATGCATACCGCCAAATGCAGTAAGGGGCAGGGGGATTCCTCATTTGGTGGAGATGAAGCAAGCATGTCGCCCATATGCAATGCAGCACTTTCCGTCCAATTGGGCTTTGCTACAGTTTCTCCACAGCTCCATCCTGGGCTGAGCATTGGCAGAGCCAGCTCGACCATGTCTGCTTTGTGGGTAAATTATTTATTCTTTTCTGAGTCTGTGCAATTCCAGGGTAAAGGATAGAAATGGCTACTGCTGCAGAAGTGAGCAGAAGAGTGTGTTTTTCTTCCATTTAATTTCTGTGTTTAAAAAAAACACAACATGAAACCAAGCCTTAACCCCCCCGTCTCTTAGATTATTAAATATATTCTCTGCTAAACAATGTTGCTACATTAACATGTCAAATATCTTTCCTGAAGTGTTTCTCTTGGAATACGGAATATGTTATATTCCAAACTGTTCCCAGTTTGAGCATTGCTGTAATGCCAATAATTAACACAGCCCTTTCAAAGCTATGTATGACCTCAGAAAACTGTCCTAATTAAAACAATACATCTTCATAGAACTTGAGACATTCAAGTGGAAAGATACATAAATATTTTTGTTCTCCTTCCCTACCTCTTTTATTCTGGCCCCTTTTCTGGCAAAGCTGATCTATGATAATATCTATTCTAGGATATGAGGCTATTATGCTTATTCACTTTGTGTCATAATTACATACTTCATGCACAGGAAAGAGTAAACACACAATTTCTTTTTAAAATAATAGAAGAATGTACAAATTATTTTTATGAAAACTTCTTATGAGGATGCTTGCAGAGTGGACCCAAACCAGGAGAATATCCATCTGTCTTTAATAAAAGAGGAAGATACAGTGTGCATCATTCCATTATAACTGAACAAAATTCAGTACAGCGTTTTTTTGTCATACAAAGGGAATTACTGTGAGAAGTAGATACTGGAATTCAATATCTGTTTGTTTGAGTATATGCGTATACATATATATGTGCACTTATAAATATTACTTGTATATACATATATATGTGTACAGTGCATGATAAGCAGGGATACCTGATTTAGATCTACATGAGCTACACTGGGTACTACAAGCGGTCTAGCCTTGTTAGCCAAGGTTTAGTCCCACATTAATAGACACCACCTCTCAACTCAAAAGGGTATCTGAGGTCCACAATAGCAGACCATTTCCGATATTCACACTACATCAGGGAGTGCTGCATGGATCTATACCATCCCATACACATAGATATTTATTCGCAGAACATGGTGAACAAGAGTGTTGTATTTTTCTTCATGGTAAAATGCTTCTCTATGCATAGTAAACACAAGAAATGTGTGTAGCATAATCAAGTCTTCTGATTGCAATCAGACAGTGCAATAGGCTGATGGTATCATTATGCAGTGAACCACAGTTTCACAGTTGTTTTCTTTTGATGTCCATGTCTTATTCTTTCAAAAACAAGGAAAAATCCCTACATCCTGATAAAATTATTAAGTGGAGGAAAATTACTCGTCCAACTCATTTCCCCAGATCAAATATAAAACTTTTCCAGCATCTTATTAAAGTGGGCAAATGCCAGAAATCATCCCAAGCTTAGTGAGTGTGCCGCTTATTCCAGCTCAGTCAATGTGAACATTGTAAGGAGATATCTGCAAGGATTTTCATAAATAGCATTGATGCTAATTCCTAATTTGAAAAACACTTTAAAAGTTGCTCTTAAATATACAAAAAGGACTTTCAAAGCCAGAATGTAGGGAAGAGGACAGATTGAACTACATCACTTGGTTTGTTTTCTCCAAACCAGGATGTAGTAGTGGAAAAAGTAACAAGGAGATTTCCAAAGTCAAGGTCATTACATACTAACTTCAGAATCAGCCTCAGAAATAGTTTGAGAACAATGGTGTGCAGGTAAGGACCTCATTCTATGTGAGAGCTGGAAGAGTGGTTAAAGTAATAAAAGCAGTGAAGCCTGTTATCTCAGCTCTCTCCTAAGTGATACCTCCTTCAGGCAACTGATTTTTGCATTACTGTGGTGTCTGACCAACTGTTTTGTTCCTAACCAGAATGCCATGGGCACAATTAATAGCCAACAGGATGGCTATGCTGAACCAACTTCATTTTATTCTTGTACTGAACAAAAAATTATTTGAGCTGTGTTGGATTTTGTACTTCAAAAGAAGTATTATGACAAGGTCATCCTTCAGATATGACAAATTCTACACAGAAATGCATATATTTTGTACAATAACTCCCATAACATGTCACAGTATAAATTAGCAGGCTGCTATGGTGATAACAGTAGTATACATATTGGTGATTATTTTCATAATTCGTGGATTTTATGTATGGCATGAACAGTGCACTCTTTGGCATTATGTGAATTTTTTTATGATACTGGTAAATTTGCTGTATCAATGCCACCAAGTAGCACAATTTTTTTCAGATCATAGCTCAATGATGTGTGAAAGAGCTAACTGCCGAGAAAGGGCTCTTTTACTCCTCCCTTTGCTAATTTCCCTATTGCTCAGCTGGAGGTGAAAGGCTGTTTGAATAGGACTCGAAAAGTTGGCAATGAAAGGCATATCAGCATACTTGAATGCAAGAAGTAGTAAGATGGGTATTTGCCTAGGATGGGTTTGAATGGTGGAAGAGCAGTCTATCTGGATAGCTGTAAAGAAAAATGTGGAGGTTCTATGAATATCTGATACAATACCTTTACTAAGGAAAGTAATAAGATTTGATCCCCTCTTAAAAATATGCATTAGTTCTCTTGTCTTCTTTTAAAAAAGAATAACAAGTTATTTCAGATGCAGGTGTCTATAACTGCACCTCTGCTTAATTTCTGTGTGTAATAAGTGCTGGCTCAATCATGTCATGAAACTTCAAAGTGGGGGCATTCTCTGTGTGCAGCTGACTTGTAGAATCATAGAATAGTTTGGGTTGGAAGGGACCTCTAAAGGTCATCTAGTCCAACCCCCCTGCCGTGGGCAGGGACAATGCCCCTTGTAGAAGGGACTTAGATAGGCATTTGCCGTCTATCCTGTTTTTTACTTTTTGTGTTATGGTAAAAGTCTTACATGAAGGTTTGTCAATGTTTGCAAATGAAATCTCTAATGTGTCTCTAAATTTCAAGTATATTGTCTACCCTGCTCTCTAGTAACCATGCTCTAAAATGTATATCCTTGCTTAAGAATTGCCATGATGGCTGAGACATTAGTGTTTTTTAGTGATAAGAGGCAGGTGCCAGCTCCTTTCAAGTGGCTAATAACTGAAATTTGAATTAAGCTCTGAACTAGATGGTTTAAAATCACTCTAAAAAAAAATGTTATCCTTCTATATTTCTGAGTCTTTATGTCATACAGACAATTTTCCAACCCTTGTTTGAATTTGCTGCAATCTCTGTCTAAAATATCTCTGTCTAAAATATCTGAGGACATAAATTCTACTGTTTAGGTACGTGCTGTTTTAGAAAAGTATTTCCTTTTGTCATTTCTTATTACATTGAATGTCACCGTGACTTTGTGTTGTGACATAAGTAGAAACCTCAGGATAACCTTTCTCTTAAAATTGTTTTTTTTTCTTATCTCCTATCTGATTGTCTCTTTCAGGATTATAAACCGAACCCATAATTTGTGTTTCTTCACAGGAATTGTTAATGCCCTTGCACACTTTAACACCTTTCTTCTCCATTTGAGAAGACTTTTTCCTATTGAATAAGAAAAACTTATGAACAGATGAGTTCACAAGACAAGAGTTCAGCTTAAAATCAAATTCTAAAGCTCACTGTGGTTCCCAAACTTCAGACAGTTCAGCATTTGCTGTTGTCCTGGTATATATAGCTAATCAGTCATGGCCTCATTTCTGAAAATCTTTTAGCTAATGTTCTCAAAGTGAGTTTAATCTTAGCAATACGTTTAAAGTGAGTAGTGTATTTCTAATAGGTCTCTTAAAGTACAAAGACACAGTTCACGTGGTATGGTGGAAAACATATGAAGGCAAATTGAAACTGTAGATATTGGCCAAGAGAGATGTAAAGTGCAATGGAGAGGTGAGGAGAGAAATGTGAAGAATTACATAAAATCTAGCTCCCACCAGTTTCATCCCAGTCTCATTGATGGTTACTGTGAAGAAAAACGTCAGCAATATATGTCTACCATGTATCTTTAGAGGGATTGCATCACAGGTGATTTACAGACTGCAGACAGTTCTGGAAACCAATGCGGGTATAGATATAAAACCTCAAACTGGTGAACGACTTGAGACTAGCAACAAATCAATCATCTTTTATGGAAGAAGCTGGGTTTGGGTGCATGACACTTTATAACTCTCTTACACTTACAAAACAAAGAAGCAAGCAAAAGAACTTCTAAAATGGGAATCCTTGACAATAAAGTAGCATTCTAATTTCTCACATAATCCTGAAAATTTAGTTGTCCACACTTGCATACAAGTAAAAATTTCAATAACCTTTGAAGTCAGTGGAACCACACCCATTCATAGGGTTTTGCCTTAACTCATCTGTTTCTAAGATCAGAGGCCAGAATTATTTAATTACAAGTATCAGTTTTTGTTCACAAACATGAGTTTAGAGGTTAATTATGCTACATTCACTGGACTTGTACCCAAGAGATTGTCCAGAGCTATAATAGAAGTTATAAAAAAAAGGTACTACTCTAAAATGGGCCAGAATTACAGCTCAGAGGAGCTTGAACTTTTAACTCACTTGGGTGGTTTGAAAACTCTTACCTACAATAGCATTAAAGTATGTTTTTTATAAACTTGGGAAGTTCTCTTAGCTTTAAGCTTTGAGTCTGACTAGATCTTCTTCTTGAAACTGAACTCCCCTAAGAAGGCCAAAGGACTGTTTTTATTAGAGTATAAACTAAAACAAGTAACCTTTGAAAA